GCACTGTGATATTTGTGAGATCTTTATTCTTTAGACCTCTTATATGTCCGCTAATGTCCACCAATGTCCGTCCGAGTCCGCCAATGTCCGTCCGGGTCCGCAAATGTCCGTCCGAGTCCGCCAATGTCCGTCCGAGTCCGCCAATGTCCGTCCGAGTCCGCCAATGTCCGTCCGTGTCCGCCAATGTCCGTCCGTGTCCGCCAATGTCCCAAAAAACACGTCCGTTGTCTCATAGAATCCAAAAAGGACAGGACATAGGCGGACATAGACGGACGTGACACCCCCCCCCCCCCTATATGACTATGAGAGGCCTGCAATAACTAAATAAGTAACGGTAAAATCTTACAAGTCTGATTGATCAGTAATGTAGCCCCCCCCCCACCCGTGGGGGGGGGGGGCTTTCAGAAAGATCTTGAAGTTCGAGTGTAGAGTGATTTAGCACATTCGTAGTCATTACGAAGCTGAACAATTCTCAATTTCATAACGATATCCAATTTGTGATCAACTTCCAGTTTCAATATCCATATATTCTCAAGATATAATGGGAATACACAAAACAATGTTGGTGCATCAGAATTGGACGATTTAGTCGAAGATTTGAAATTAAAATACAGCCACTCTGATGCAGATGTTGAGGTAAAAGTTACAAAATAGTGTCCTCTCTTTTAACATTTAAAGTTTGTCAAAAATAAATTTAAACTACCTTATCTTATTTATTTCAATATTGGCAACACATTATCGATTAACTCGGCCACACGAGAGCGTTTTTAATTTCGGAAATCCCAAAAAATACCACTTGAATATTTGAGCAAACCCTACACCCTAGTTAATCATAATGTTATATCCACAGCTAAACTTCTCGTTCGATGTTGAGAACGGTACTTTGACTGACTTCACGGATACAGCGGATGAGAGCTACGAACTTACTATCTCTACTGACGAGCAAGGAAATGTTAACGCCAAAGTCAAAGCTGCCTCTTACTTTGTAAGCTGTTAGCTGTTGATATAAGTATAACTACTATTAGTAAAAATATTAAACGTATAAAACAGTGCAACAAATTAGATGAAATTTTCATTCAGAAATAGAATTGATCTTGTTTTGTTGATCTGGTGAGATTCCCAATGACATGTCCACCAGGGAGCGCGTCATGGAGTTGTAACACTGTCACAGCTGGCTCTATCCGACACAGTGGACAACAGGACCTACATAGTTAACAGTATAAAGATAGTGGACAGTCCTTATTATCCCTGGCGTGGTCTCTCAATTGATACCAGCAGGAACTACATTTCAACTCCTGTTATCAAGTAGGTTATCAATCTTTACTTTACATATACTGAGAGTCTACTCTACCTAGTTAATGTGAGAATTATGTCTATCTGCTGTATTCTATAAACAATTTACATGACTATTTCATTAAGTATCAGTATAGCACAGTAATAAGTTTTTCATTGCAATGTGTTCAGGAAGATTCTAGATGGTCTAGCAGCAGCTAAGATTGCAATGTGTTCAGGAAGATTGTAGACGGTCTAGCAGCAGCTAAGATGATAATTGCAATGTGTTCAGGAAGATTGTAGATGGTCTAGCAGCAGCTACAGTAATAAGTTCATTAATGGTCTAGCAGCAGCTAAGATTGCAATGCGTTCAGGAAGATACTAGATGGTCTAATTGCAATGTGTTCAGGAAGATACTAGACAGTCTAGCAGCAGCTAAGATTGCAATGTGTTCAGGAAGATACTAGATGGTCTAATTGCAATGTGTTCAGGAAGATTGTAGACGGTCTAGCAGCAGCTAAGATTGCAATGCGTTCAGGAAGATACTAGATGGTCTAATTGCAATGTGTTCAGGAAGATATTAGACAGTCTAGCAGAAGCTAAGATTGTAATGTGTTCAGGAAGATACTAGATGGTCTAATTGCAATGTGTTCAGGAAGATACTAGACAGTCTAGCAGCAGCTAAGATTGCAATGTGTTCAGGAAGATACTAGACGGTCTAATTGCAATGTGTTCAGGAAGATACTAGACGGTCTAGCAGCAGCTAAGATTGCAATGTGTTCAGGAAGATACTAGATGGTCTAATTGCAATGTGTTCAGGAAGATATTAGACAGTCTAGCAGCAGCTAAGATTGCAATGTGTTCAGGAAGATACTAGATGGTCTAATTACAATGTGTTCAGGAAGATACTAGACAGTCTAGCAGCAGCTAAGATTGCAATGTGTTCAGGAAGATACTAGATGGTCTAATTACAATGTGTTCAGGAAGATTCTAGACGGTCTAGCAGCAGCTAAGATTGCAATGTGTTCAGGAAGATACTAGATGGTCTAATTGCAATGTGTTCAGGAAGATATTAGACAGTCTAGCAGCAGCTAAGATTGCAATGTGTTCAGGAAGATACTAGATGGTCTAATTGCAATGTGTTCAGGAAGATTCTAGACGGTCTAATTGCAATGTGTTCAGGAAGATACTAGACAGTCTAGCAGCAGCTAAGATTGCAATGTGTTCAGGAAGATACTAGACGGTCTAATTGCAATGTGTTCAGGAAGATACTAGATGGTCTAATTGCAATGTGTTCAGGAAGATTCTAGACGGTCTAGCAGCAGCTAAGATTGCAATGTGTTCAGGAAGATACTAGATGGTCTAATTGCAATGTGTTCAGGAAGATTCTAGACGGTCTAATTGCAATGTGTTCAGGAAGATACTAGACAGTCTAGCAGCAGCTAAGATTGCAATGTGTTCAGGAAGATACTAGACGGTCTAATTGCAATGTGTTCAGGAAGATACTAGATGGTCTAATTGCAATGTGTTCAGGAAGATTCTAGACGGTCTAGCAGCAGCTAAGATTGCAATGTGTTCAGGAAGATACTAGATGGTCTAATTGCAATGTGTTCAGGAAGATTGTAGACGGTCTAGCAGCAGCTAAGATTGCAATGTGTTCAGGAAGATACTAGATGGTCTAATTGCAATGTGTTCAGGAAGATTCTAGACGGTCTAATTGCAATGTGTTCAGGAAGATACTAGACAGTCTAGCAGCAGCTAAGATTGCAATGTGTTCAGGAAGATACTAGACGGTCTAATTGCAATGTGTTCAGGAAGATACTAGATGGTCTAATTGCAATGTGTTCAGGAAGATTCTAGACGGTCTAGCAGCAGCTAAGATTGCAATGTGTTCAGGAAGATACTAGATGGTCTAATTGCAATGTGTTCAGGAAGATACTAGACAGTCTAGCAGCAGCTAAGATTGCAATGTGTTCAGGAAGATACTAGATGGTCTAATTGCAATGTGTTCAGGAAGATTCTAGACGGTCTAATTGCAATGTGTTCAGGAAGATACTAGACAGTCTAGCAGCAGCTAAGATTGCAATGTGTTCAGGAAGATACTAGACGGTCTAATTGCAATGTGTTCAGGAAGATACTAGATGGTCTAATTGCAATGTGTTCAGGAAGATACTAGACAGTCTAGCAGCAGCTAAGATTGCAATGTGTTCAGGAAGATACTAGATGGTCTAATTGCAATGTGTTCAGGAAGATTCTAGATGGTCTAATTGCAATGTGTTCAGGAAGATACTAGACGGTCTAGCAGCAGCTAAGATTGCAATGTGTTCAGGAAGATACTAGATGGTCTAATTGCAATGTGTTCAGGAAGATACTAGACAGTCTAGCAGCAGCTAAGATTGCAATGTGTTCAGGAAGATACTAGACGGTCTAATTGCAATGTGTTCAGGAAGATACTAGATGGTCTAATTGCAATGTGTTCAGGAAGATACTAGATGGTCTAATTGCAATGTGTTCAGGAAGATACTAGACAGTCTAGCAGCAGCTAAGATTGCAATGTGTTCAGGAAGATACTAGATGGTCTAATTGCAATGTGTTCAGGAAGATTGTAGACGGTCTAGAAGCAGCTAAGATTGCAATGTGTTCAGGAAGATACTAGATGGTCTAATTGCAATGTGTTCAGGAAGATTCTAGACGGTCTAGCAGCAGCTAAGATTGCAATGTGTTCAGGAAGATACTAGATGGTCTAATTGCAATGTGTTCAGGAAGATTCTAGATGGTCTAATTGCAATGTGTTCAGGAAGATACTAGACGGTCTAGCAGCAGCTAAGATTGCAATGTGTTCAGGAAGATACTAGATGGTCTAATTGCAATGTGTTCAGGAAGATACTAGACAGTCTAGCAGCAGCTAAGATTGCAATGTGTTCAGGAAGATACTAGACGGTCTAATTGCAATGTGTTCAGGAAGATACTAGATGGTCTAATTGCAATGTGTTCAGGAAGATACTAGATGGTCTAATTGCAATGTGTTCAGGAAGATACTAGACAGTCTAGCAGCAGCTAAGATTGCAATGTGTTCAGGAAGATACTAGATGGTCTAATTGCAATGTGTTCAGGAAGATTGTAGACGGTCTAGCAGCAGCTAAGATTGCAATGTGTTCAGGAAGATACTAGATGGTCTAATTGCAATGTGTTCAGGAAGATTCTAGACGGTCTAGCAGCAGCTAAGATTGCAATGTGTTCAGGAAGATACTAGATGGTCTAATTGCAATGTGTTCAGGAAGATTGTAGACGGTCTAGCAGCAGCTAAGATGAACACTCTGCACTGGCACCTCTCCGACAGCCACAGCTTCCCCTTTGTCAGTAAGACAGTCCCTAAGATGTCAGAGTACGGGGCGTATCTTCCTGATAAAACTTACACTCCTGAAATTGTGAAGGATATTGTCACGTATGCTAAGGTTAGCGGGTGTTACTCGTAAAATACTTGTTCTAAATATTCCAAATAGACCGTCAATTTGCAACGAGTCCAACTCGGCGCGCGTCTTGGTAGGTTATAAACCTACAATTGACAATGCTAAGGTTAATGTTTGAGGTGTTTCCTTTGATCTGTTATTTTAACATACTCGTTAAGTGGTAAACCTTGGGTAACAATTATACTAATCTATAACACGATTTGACCAAATCACAGTGAGGAGAGTTTCGTGTTTTTTACGTACTGTTTTCAGAAGCGGGGTATCAGGATAATTCCAGAGCTAGACGCCCCCGCACATGCTGGATATGGATGGCAGTGGGGCAAGGCTGCTGGGAAAGGTAGGTTAAGGATACCGCGAGGGAAAATGTAGGATTATCCCAGGGACTAAAGTTATTTTGTTATTAAAAATAAGATATTTCATAGAGTGTTGAAATTAATTAAATAAATTAGTTTTCAATCGAAATCTCAATATCCAGGTGATCTAGTTGTGTGTGTTGGTAAAGAACTGTGGACTGACTATTGTTTGGAGCCGCCCTGTGGGCAGATGAATGTTGCTAACGAGGAGCTGTACCCTGTTTTAAAGGTCGTTTTCGTTAGAATTATTATTTCGTTAGAATTTGAATTCGGCATTTTTACACGAAACTCTGAGTCTGAGGCGACTGAGATTTTGGAAACTGTTAAAGAGTTTAAGGGTGCTTATCACACTCGCAGATTTCTTCCTCATTAAAGAAAGCAGTTCTTTACCTCCAACTATCATTCCAGGATATATACCAAGACCTTAAAGACTCGTTCCCAAGCGAATGGTTGCACATGGGAGGAGACGAAGTTAATTTTGATTGCTGGAAATCTGAGACATCTATCACTAACTTTATGGAGTCCAAAGGGTAAGCTAAATGAGCGAGATTAAACAGAAGTCAACATAACCTATACTAGGTCGAACGTCGCTTAAAATAAATGTGGTGGGAACCAGTCAGGAGGGCGGAAGACGCGTGGGCGGAGGTCGCGTAGGCGGAAGACTTGAGGGCGGAGGACGCAAGGGCGGAAGTTTCCTAAAAGGTTGGACACGAGGGCGGAGGTCGCGAGGGCGGAGGTCGATCCCATGATTTGGGCGGAAGTCTCGTAAAACGATCACATGTCCTAAATGCTCGACTGGTAATACTACAAAACCTGAAACATCACACAACGTACTTCAAATTGTATAAATTATATAAGTTATATTCAATCATTTTAGTGGTACTGATTTCGAATTCTTTGTAACTTTAAAAACAAAATACACAGGGTTATAGAGAACGCTTAAAGGTAATATAAATCACAATGTAATCAATCAATTTTGTCAAAACCCGAATAGAATAATATCATGCAATAACATAAACATTTCACATAGCACTCTTTAGCAAATCAATATAGGTTAAAATATCATCCTCGTACGAATGGTAGTTCTGAACTATGCTGAGGATTCTTCTATCCTTGTCGCTGTTGGCCTTCTTCCTCTTAGGCGGCTGCTCTCCAAGCGAATTCGCTAAGATCTTCTTGTCTGTCGAGGACTGTTCCATCTGGACTGCTGCAATGAAATTGTAGATGGTCGGGTTTGCGTGTCCGACTAGAGCAGAGAACTTCTTGTTCCAGGACTCCACCACGTTGTTTCTCCGGTTCATGTTGAAGTGGCTGCGTTCATAGGCATTCCACGTGGACGGAGGGAATTTAGCTCGTCCGGTGCCGGAGGCAGTCGTTAGTCCCTGGATCCAAGTGGTCTGGAAGTATGCCAGGAGATCGTCAATGGCGAGGCCTATCGGTATCTCATCCAGGATTCTGAAATACGCTTCGATGACGTCCTCGGTGGGGATGAAGGCTAGGAGCATCAGTCTCCGTATCCAGATTCGTGTAGGGGTGTAGTTCTTCTGGCCAGATGAGGGATCTGTCAGGACTTTTTCATACTCCTCCTTGTATCCAAGCCTCCCGACAGCTCTCATGACAGCCTGGCAGATATGAAAGAAGCACCCATCCACTTGGGCTGACTCGAATGTAGACGATAGGGCGTTCCTCAGGGCGAGCTCAAGGTCCACCATGATTCGGTCTGGAGAAAAGGAACCAAGGTTTTTGAGGGCGCCGATGTTGTGGTTAGTAGTCATCGTCGTAGCAGCCAGATCCTGGACTTTAGCGAGGACTTCTTTCAATTCACAGTCAGCGATATCAGCGTCGTGGTTATGTATCTGTGTCACTTTCACCAAGGATTCGTTCAGGGTATACAGACGACCACGGCAACAGTCTTTCTTCCTCACACATCTCCAGGCTTGGCGTCCATCGGTGGTAAGCTTTCCATCCTTAGAGTAGCGGAAACCACCGTGTAGGAGATTCTGACTGGTAGGAGTCCTTCCTCTGATAATCTTTACTGTATCTTCATCGTACATGGTTGTTATTGTAGTAGTTGAGATGTAGCTGGAACTAAATAATAAGATACTTCTATTCCCAACATCGGTCTTAAATATACTAGTTGTCTCTCGAGTCGTCTACGTTGTGACTCAAGTTGTTCGTTTCACTGTGCAATCTCTTCGTGTGAAAACAGTTGATCATATCCCAGATCAGTTTACGTGATGTTGTGATGTCCTCACATACCGTTGTGTTATATGAGATCATGACCATGGTGATTCATGACGTGAGTCGAAGTTATGTATCACGTGACTCGATTCGATAGTTTGACTCACATGACACAAGGGCTTCTAATAAGATACTTCTATTCCCAACATCGGTCTTAAATATACTAGTTGTCTCTCGAGTCGTCTACGTTGTGACTCAAGTTGTTCGTTTCACTGTGCAATCTCTTCGTGTGAAAACAGTTGATCATATCCCAGATCAGTTTACGTGATGTTGTGATGTCCTCACATACCGTTGTGTTATATGAGATCATGACCATGGTGATTCATGACGTGAGTCGAAGTTATGTATCACGTGACTCGATTCGATAGTTTGACTCACATGACACAAGGGCTTCTGGGATATGATCAACAGTTTTCACACGAAAAGATTGCACAGTGAAACGAACAACTTGAGTCACAACGTCAGAATCTCCTAGTCCAGATGGAACAGTCCTCGACAGACAAGAAGACCTTAGCGAATTCGCTTGGAGAGCAGCAGCCTAAGAGGAGGAAGGCCAATAGCGACAAGGATAGAAGAATCTTCAGCATAGTTCAGAACTACCATTCGTACGAGGATGATGTTGTGCTATGTGAAATGTTTATGTTATTGTGATATTATTCTATTCGGGTTTGACAAAATTGATTGATTACATTGTGATTTATATTACCGTTAAGCGTTCTCTATAAGTATAACCCTGTGTATTTTGTTTGTAAAGTTACAAAGAATTCGAAATCAGTACCACTAAAATGATTGAATATAACTTTGATTGAATATAACTTATATAATTTATACAATTTGAAGTACGTTGTGTGATGTTTCCGGTTTTGTAGTATTACCAGTCGAGAATTTAGGACATGTGATCGTTTTACGAGTCTTCCGCCCAAATCTTGGGATCGACCTCCGCGCTCGCGACCTCCGCCCTCGTGTCCAACCTTTTAGGAAACTTCCGCCCTTGCGTCCTCCGCCCTCAAGTCTTCCGCCTACGCGACCTCCGCCCACGCGTCTTCCGCCCTTGTGTCCTATACCCAATGTGGTATTTGGGTTGACGGATGTTACTCGTATAAATTTATTCGAAGTAGCGCGCGCCGCTAGTTTCTTCTCGAAATATTAGCCCGATGCAAGTGCTACGAAGTAGCGCACGCCGGGGGCCCGGGCTATAGTCCTATTAACAATGGACAAATACAATTACTGTCTAAAATGAACGTTAACGACTATTTGTAAAGCTATTTGGCCAGCAATACAACAACAGGTGGAGTAGTGATGTAGGAGGTTTTATGAAGCTGTGGGATTACTACCAACAGAGAGCGTACGAGCAGCTAAAAGAAGTAACATCCGAAGACAAACCTAAAGCTATCCTCTGGTCAAGTCGCATGACAACAGGTACTTAGCTCAAGTATTTCTCGTGCTCTTTATAGAAGTTGCTGCAAGATGAAAGACCTTGCTGCAAGATGATAGACCTTGCTACAAGGCCTTGCTGCAAGATGATAGACCTTGCTGCAAGGCCTTGCTGCAAGATGATAGACCTTGCTACAAGGCCTTGCTGCAAGATGATAGACCTTGCTGCAAGATGATAGACCTTGCTGCAAGATGATAGACCTTGCTGCAAGACCTTGCTGCAAGATGATAGGCCTTGCTGCAAGATGAAAGACCTTGCTGCAAGACCTTGCTGCAAGGCCTTGCTGCAAGATGATAGACCTTGCTGCAAGGCCTTGCTGCAAGATGATAGGCCTTGCTGCAAGGCCTTACTGCAAGATGATAGACCTTGCTGCAAGACCTTGCTGCAAGGCCTTGCTGCAAGATGATAGGCCTTGCTGCAAGGCCTTGCTGCAAGACCTTGCTGCAAGATGATAGACCTTGCTACAAGACCTTGCTGCAAGATGATAGGCCTTGCTGCAAGACCTTGCTTCAAGATGATAGACCTTGCTGCAAGGCCTTGCTGCAAGATGATAGGCCTTGCTTCAAGGCCTTGCTGCAAGATGATAGACCTTCCTGCAAGGCCTTGCTGCAAGATGGTAGACCTTGCTGCAAGATGATAGACCTTGCTGCAAGACCTTGCTGCAAGGCCTTGCTGCAAGATGATAGACCTTGCTGCAAGATGATAGACCTTCCTGCAAGACCTTGCTGCAAGGCCTTGCTGCAAGATGATAGACCTTCCTACAAGATGATAGACCTTGCTGCAAGGCCTTGCTGCAAGGCCTTGCTGCAAGATGGTAGACCTTGCTGCAAGATGATAGACCTTGCTGCAAGACCTTGCTGCAAGGCCTTGCTGCAAGATGATAGACCTTGCTGCAAGATGATAGACCTTCCTGCAAGATGATAGACCTTGCTGCAAGGCCTTGCTGCAAGATGATAGGCCTTGCTGCAAGGCCTTGCTGCATGATGATAGACCATGCTGCAAGACCTTGCTGCAAGGCCTTGCTGCAATATGATAGGCCTTGCTGCAAGACCTTGCTGCAAGATGATAGACCTTGCTGCAAGACCTTGCTGCAAGATGATAGACCTTGCTGCAAGGCCTTGCTGCAAGATGATAGACCTTGCTGCAAGATGATAGACCTTGCTGCAAGGCCTTGCTGCAAGATGATAGGCCTTGCTTCAAGGCCTTGCTGCAAGATGATAGAGCTTCCTGCAAGGCCTTGCTGCAAGGCCTTGCTGCAAGATGGTAGACCTTGCTGCAAGACCTTGCTGCAAGGCCTTGCTGCAAGATGATAGACCTTGCTGCAAGATGATAGACCTTCCTGCAAGACCTTGCTGCAAGGCCTTACTGCAAGATGATAGACCTTCCTGCAAGATGATAGACCTTGCTGCAAGATGATAGACCTTGCTGCAAGGCCTTGCTGCATGATGATAGACCTTGCTGCAAGACCTTGCTGCAAGGCCTTGCTGCAATATGATAGGCCTTGCTGCAAGACCTTGCTGCAAGATGATAGACCTTGCTGCAAGACCTTGCTGCAAGACCTTGCTGCAAGATGATAGACCTTGCTGCAAGGCCTTGCTGCAAGATGATAGACCTTGCTGCAAGATGATAGACCTTGCTGCAAGATGATAGACCTTGCTGCAAGGCCTTGCTGCAAGGCCTTGCTGCAAGGCCTTGCTGCAAGATGGTAGACCTTGCTGCAAGACCTTGCTGCAAGGCCTTGCTGCAAGATGATAGACCTTGCTGCAAGATGATAGACCTTCCTGCAAGACCTTGCTGCAAGGCCTTACTGCAAGATGATAGACCTTCCTGCAAGATGATAGACCTTGCTGCAAGATGATAGACCTTGCTGCAAGGCCTTGCTGCATGATGATAGACCTTGCTGCAAGACCTTGCTGCAAGGCCTTGCTGCAATATGATAGGCCTTGCTGCAAGACCTTGCTGCAAGATGATAGACCTTGCTGCAAGACCTTGCTGCAAGACCTTGCTGCAAGATGATAGACCTTGCTGCAAGGCCTTGCTGCAAGATGATAGACCTTGCTGCAAGATGATAGACCTTGCTGCAAGATGATAGACCTTGCTGCAAGGCCTTGCTGCAAGGCCTTGCTGCAAGGCCTTGCTGCAAGATAATAGACCTTGCTGCAAGATGATAGACCTTGCTGCAAGGCCTTGCTGCAAGATGATAGACCTTGCTGCAAGGCCTTGCTGCAAGATGATAGACCTTGCTGCAAGGCCTTGCTGCAAGATGATAGACCTTGCTGCAAGGCTTTGCTGCAAGATGATAGACCTTGCTGCAAGGCCTTGCTGCAAGATGATAGACCTTGCTACAAGGCCTTGCTGCAAGATGATAGACCTTGCTGCAAGACCTTGCTGCAAGGCCTTGCTGCAAGATGATAGACCTTGCTGCAAGGCCTTGCTGCAAGATGATAGACCTTGCTGCAAGATGATAGACCTTGCTGCAAGGCCTTGCTGCAAGATGATAGGCCTTGCTGCAAGGCCTTGCTGTAAGATGATAGACCTTGCTGCAAGGCCTTGCTGCAAGATGATAGACCTTGCTACAAGGCCTTGCTGCAAGATGATAGACCTTGCTGCAAGATGATAGACCTTGCTGCAAGATGATAGACCTTGCTGCAAGATGATAGACCTTGCTGCAAGACCTTGCTGCAAGATGATAGGCCTTGCTGCAAGATGAAAGACCTTGCTGCAAGACCTTGCTGCAAGGCCTTGCTGCAAGATGATAGACCTTGCTGCAAGGCCTTGCTGCAAGATGATAGGCCTTGCTGCAAGGCCTTACTGCAAGATGATAGACCTTGCTGCAAGACCTTGCTGCAAGGCCTTGCTGCAAGATGATAGGCCTTGCTGCAAGGCCTTGCTGCAAGACCTTGCTGCAAGATGATAGACCTTGCTACAAGACCTTGCTGCAAGATGATAGGCCTTGCTGCAAGACCTTGCTTCAAGATGATAGACCTTGCTGCAAGGCCTTGCTGCAAGATGATAGGCCTTGCTTCAAGGCCTTGCTGCAAGATGATAGACCTTCCTGCAAGGCCTTGCTGCAAGATGGTAGACCTTGCTGCAAGATGATAGACCTTGCTGCAAGACCTTGCTGCAAGGCCTTGCTGGAAGATTATAGACCTTGCTGCAAGGCCTTGCTGCAAGGCCTTGCTGCAAGATGGTAGACCTTGCTGCAAGATGATAGACCTTGCTGCAAGACCTTGCTGCAAGATGATAGACCTTGCTGCAAGATGATAGACCTTCCTGCAAGATGATAGACCTTGCTGCAAGGCCTTGCTGCAAGATGATAGGCCTTGCTGCAAGGCCTTGCTGCATGATGATAGACCATGCTGCAAGACCTTGCTGCAAGGCCTTGCTGCAATATGATAGGCCTTGCTGCAAGACCTTGCTGCAAGATGATAGACCTTGCTGCAAGACCTTGCTGCAAGATGATAGACCTTGCTGCAAGGCCTTGCTGCAAGATGATAGACCTTGCTGCAAGATGATAGACCTTGCTGCAAGGCCTTGCTGCAAGATGATAGGCCTTGCTTCAAGGCCTTGCTGCAAGATGATAGAGCTTCCTGCAAGGCCTTGCTGCAAGGCCTTGCTGCAAGATGGTAGACCTTGCTGCAAGACCTTGCTGCAAGGCCTTGCTGCAAGATGATAGACCTTGCTGCAAGATGATAGACCTTCCTGCAAGACCTTGCTGCAAGGCCTTACTGCAAGATGATAGACCTTCCTGCAAGATGATAGACCTTGCTGCAAGATGATAGACCTTGCTGCAAGGCCTTGCTGCATGATGATAGACCTTGCTGCAAGACCTTGCTGCAAGGCCTTGCTGCAATATGATAGGCCTTGCTGCAAGACCTTGCTGCAAGATGATAGACCTTGCTGCAAGACCTTGCTGCAAGACCTTGCTGCAAGATGATAGACCTTGCTGCAAGGCCTTGCTGCAAGATGATAGACCTTGCTGCAAGATGATAGACCTTGCTGCAAGATGATAGACCTTGCTGCAAGGCCTTGCTGCAAGGCCTTGCTGCAAGATAATAGACCTTGCTGCAAGATGATAGACCTTGCTGCAAGGCCTTGCTGCAAGATGATAGACCTTGCTGCAAGGCCTTGCTGCAAGATGATAGACCTTGCTGCAAGACCTTGCTGCAAGGCCTTGCTGCAAGATGATAGACCTTGCTGCAAGGCCTTGCTGCAAGATGATAGACCTTGCTGCAAGGCTTTGCTGCAAGATGATAGACCTTGCTGCAAGGCCTTGCTGCAAGATGATAGACCTTGCTACAAGGCCTTGCTGCAAGATGATAGACCTTGCTGCAAGACCTTGCTGCAAGGCCTTGCTGCAAGATGATAGACCTTGCTGCAAGGCCTTGCTGCAAGATGATAGACCTTGCTGCAAGATGATAGACCTTGCTGCAAGGCCTTGCTGCAAGATGATAGGCCTTGCTGCAAGGCCTTGCTGTAAGATGATAGACCTTGCTGCAAGGCCTTGCTGCAAGATGATAGACCTTGCTACAAGGCCTTGCTGCAAGATGATAGACCTTGCTGCAAGATGATAGACCTTGCTGCAAGATGATAGACCTTGCTGCAAGATGATAGACCTTGCTGCAAGACCTTGCTGCAAGATGATAGGCCTTGCTGCAAGATGAAAGACCTTGCTGCAAGACCTTGCTGCAAGGCCTTGCTGCAAGATGATAGACCTTGCTGCAAGGCCTTGCTGCAAGATGATAGGCCTTGCTGCAAGGCCTTACTGCAAGATGATAGACCTTGCTGCAAGACCTTGCTGCAAGGCCTTGCTGCAAGATGATAGGCCTTGCTGCAAGGCCTTGCTGCAAGACCTTGCTGCAAGATGATAGACCTTGCTACAAGACCTTGCTGCAAGATGATAGGCCTTGCTGCAAGACCTTGCTTCAAGATGATAGACCTTGCTGCAAGGCCTTGCTGCAAGATGATAGGCCTTGCTTCAAGGCCTTGCTGCAAGATGATAGACCTTCCTGCAAGGCCTTGCTGCAAGATGGTAGACCTTGCTGCAAGATGATAGACCTTGCTGCAAGACCTTGCTGCAAGGCCTTGCTGCAAGATTATAGACCTTGCTGCAAGATGATAGACCTTCCTGCAAGACCTTGCTGCAAGGCCTTGCTGCAAGATGATAGACCTTCCTACAAGATGATAGACCTTGCTGCAAGGCCTTGCTGCAAGGCCTTGCTGCAAGATGGTAGACCTTGCTGCAAGATGATAGACCTTGCTGCAAGACCTTGCTGCAAGGCCTTGCTGCAAGATGATAGACCTTGCTGCAAGATGATAGACCTTCCTGCAAGACCTTGCTGCAAGGCCTTGCTGCAAGATGATAGACCTTCCTGCAAGATGATAGACCTTGCTGCAAGGCCTTGCTGCAAGATGATAGGCCTTGCTGCAAGGCCTTGCTGCATGATGATAGACCATGCTGCAAGACCTTGCTGCAAGACCTTGCTGCAAGATGATAGACCTTGCTGCAAGACCTTGCTGCAAGATGATATACCTTGCTGCAAGGCCTTGCTGCAAGATGATAGACCTTGCTGCAAGATGATAGACCTTGCTGCAAGGCCTTGCTGCAAGATGATAGGCCTTGCTTCAAGGCCTTGCTGCAAGATGATAGAGCTTCCTGCAAGGCCTTGCTGCAAGGCCTTGCTGCAAGATGGTAGACCTTGCTGCAAGACCTTGCTGCAAGGCCTTGCTGCAAGATGATAGACCTTGCTGCAAGATGATAGACCTTCCTGCAAGACCTTGCTGCAAGGCCTTACTGCAAGATGATAGACCTTCCTGCAAGATGATAGACCTTGCTGCAAGGCCTTGCTGCAAGATGATAGGCCTTGCTGCAAGGCCTTGCTGCATGATGATAGACCTTGCTGCAAGACCTTGCTGCAAGGCCTTGCTGCAATATGATAGGCCTTGCTGCAAGACCTTGCTGCAAGATGATAGACCTTGCTGCAAGACCTTGCTGCAAGACCTTGCTGCAAGATGATAGACCTTGCTGCAAGGCCTTGCTGCAAGATGATAGACCTTGCTGCAAGATGATAGACCTTGCTGCAAGATGATAGACCTTGCTGCAAGGCCTTGCTGCAAGGCCTTGCTGCAAGATAATAGACCTTGCTGCAAGATGATAGACCTTGCTGCAAGGCCTTGCTGCAAGATGATAGACCTTGCTGCAAGGCCTTGCTGCAAGATGATAGACCTTGCTGCAAGACCTTGCTGCAAGGCCTTGCTGCAAGATGATAGACCTTGCTGCAAGGCTTTGCTGCAAGATGATAGACCTTGCTGCAAGGCCTTGCTGCAAGATGATAGACCTTGCTACAAGGCCTTGCTGCAAGATGATAGACCTTGCTGCAAGACCTTGCTGCAAGGCCTTGCTGCAAGATGATAGACCTTGCTGCAAGGCCTTGCTGCAAGATGATAGACCTTGCTGCAAGATGATAGACCTTGCTGCAAGGCCTTGCTGCAAGATGATAGGCCTTGCTGCAAGGCCTTGCTGTAAGATGATAGACCTTGCTGCAAGATGATAGACCTTGCTGCAAGGCCTTGCTGCAAGATGATAGGCCTTGCTGCAAGGCCTTGCTGTAAGATGATAGACCTTGCTGCAAGATGGTAGACCTTGCTGCAAGGCCTTGCTGCAAGATGATAGACCTTGCTGCAAGGCCTTGCTGCAAGATGATAGACCTTGCTGCAAGATGATAGACCTTGCTGCAAGATGATAGACCTTGCTGCAAGACCTTGCTGCAAGATGATAGACCTTGCTGCAAGATGATAGACCTTGCTGCAAGGCCTTGCTGCAAGGCCTTGCTGTAAGATGATAGACCTTGCTGCAAGATGATAGACCTTGCTGCAAGGCCTTGCTGTAAGATGATAGACCTTGCTGCAAGATGATAGACCTTGCTGCAAGATGATAGACCTTGCTGCAAGATGATAGACCTTGCTGCAAGGCCTTGCTGTAAGATGAGATTTTTGACAGGGTTTTGCGGATTTGGTGCAGACTTGAGTTTTTCATTTCATTTTAATAATAAAATACTGCACAGTTAGTTCTTGCAAATAACTATTTGCTCCCTAAGGTGAGGAGATATTGCTCCTTAACAAGGAGAACTATGTTATACAGTTCTGGGGGAGCACGGAGGATGACACAGAAGGACACGTGACACAGGTTAGTTACCATGGCAACCAGGGTCACGTGACACAGCTCAGGTCTTGGTTTGTAACTGGATTATTAAAGCTGATTGCTATAGCGACACTCGACAGTGATAAGTAACTATTCTTAACTAGATGCAGTGGCGTAACGAAAGGCCCTGCTGACCCCGCTGTGCAGAGGGGCGCCGTCTTAGGGGGGCGCCAAATCGTCGTTTGAATGTGGGACAATTTCGAAAACTTAACTAAAGTACTAGCAAAACTGCGCGTTTAGCTCTAGATACACACTTTTTTAGTGATTTTACCGGCGTATTCTTTAAAATCACCTAATTTGTTCAATTTTAGGGAGGGGCACCAAAAGGGGAGGGGGCGCCAACAGGGGGGGCGGTTTTTTTCGGCAGGGGGGCGCCAACAGGCAACGTTACGCCACTGACTAGATGTACAACAAACACTCCCCTGCAGCTAAAGAACATGCTGGAGAAGGGGTACAGGGTGATAATGAGCAACCACAACGAACTTTACCTAGACTGTGGTTTCGGGGCCTGGGTGGGCGCAGGTAAATCTTAACTTAGCAATTTTAATACTTTCAACACTACCATATAACAAATAATTTGAGGAGGTTCTCTCAAGATGATTTTTATTTCGAAGATTTCAAGAGCCTAAACTGTGTATGATTCGCCTCTCCAAACAAATCTAAAGTTAGCAGTTGGTTGATATTCTTATCTTAATGTTCGTTCATGTTATAACTTTATAAGCTTAAGAAACTTTATATTATAAGCTTAAAAAAGGAAACTATCATGATAACCGTAAATAAACATAAGTGTTTCTGTTGCAGTACCTGTCCCCCTCCCTGATGTTTCTGTTACAGTACCTGTCCCCCCTCCCCCTCCCTGATGTTTCTGTTACAGTACCTGTCCCCCCCCCCTCCCTGATGTTTCTGTTACAGTACCTGTCCCCCCCCTCCCTGATGTTTCTGTTACAGTACCTGTCCCCCTTCCTGATGTTTCTGTTACAGTACCTGTCCCCCCCCCTCCCTGATGTTTCTGTTACAGTACCTGTCCCCCTCCCCCTCCCTGATGTTTCTGTTACAGTACCTGTCCCCCCCCCTCCCTGATGTTTCTGTTACAGTACCTGTCCCCCTCCCCCTCCCTGATGTTTCTGTTACAGTACCTGTCCCCCTCCCCCTCCCTGATGTTTCTGTTACAGTACCTGTCCCCCCTCCCTGATGTTTCTGTTACAGTACCTGTCCCCCCTCCCCCCTCCCTGATGTTTCTGTTACAGTACCTGTCCCCCCCCCCTCCCTGATGTTTCTGTTACAGTACCTGTCCCCCTCCCCCTCCCTGATGTTTCTGTTACAGTACCTGTCCCGGGTCCCCCTCCCCCTCCCTGATGTTTCTGTTACAGTACCTGTCCCCCTCCCTGATGTTTCTGTTACAGTACCTGTCCCCCCCCCTCCCAGATGCTTATGTTACATTACCTGTCCCCCCCCCCCCTCCCTGATGTTTCTGTTACAGTACCTGTCCCGGGTCCCCCTCCCCCTCCCTGATGTTTCTGTTACAGTACCTGTCCCCCTCCTCCCTGATGTTTCTGTTACAGTACCTGTCACCCCCCCCCCCCCCCTCCCTGATGTTTCTGTTACAGTACCTGTCCCCCCCCCCCTCCCTGATGTTTCTGTTAAAGTACCTGTCCCCCTCCCCCTCCCTGATGTTTCTGTTACAGTACCTGTCCCCCCCCCCTCCCTGATGTTTCTGTTACAGTACCTGTCCCCCTCCCCCTCCCTGATGTTTCTGTTACAGTACCTGTCCCCCCTCCCTGATGTTTCTGTTACAGTACCTGTCCCCCTCCCCCTCCCTGATGTTTCTGTTACGTACCTGTCCCGGGTCCCCCTCCCCCTCCCTGATGTTTCTGTTACAGTACCTGTCCCCCTCCCTGATGTTTCTGTTACAGTACCTGTCCCCCCCCCCCTCCCAGATGTTTATGTTACATTACCTGTCCCCCCCCCCCCTCCCTGATGTTTCTGTTACAGTACCTGTCCCGGGTCCCCCTCCCCCTCCCTGATGTATCTGTTACAGTACCTGTCCCCCTCCTCCCTGATGTTTCTGTTACAGTACCTGTCACCCCCCCCCCCCCTCCCTGATGTTTCTGTTACAGTACCTGTCCCCCCCCCCCTCCCTGATGTTTCTGTTACAGTACCTGTCCCCCTCCCCCTCCCTGATGTTTCTGTTACAGTACCTGTCCCCCTCCCCCTCCCTGATGTTTCTGTTACAGTACCTGTCCCCCTCCCCTCCCTGATGTTTCTGTTACAGTACCTGTCCCCCTCCCTGATGTTTCTGTTACAGTACCTGTCCCCCTTCCTGATGTTTCTGTTACAGTACCTGCCCCCCCCCCCCCCTCCCTGATGTTTCTGTTACAGTACCTGTCCCCCCCTCCCTGATGTTTCTGTTACAGTACCTGTCCCCCTCCCCCTCCCTGATGTTTCTGTTACAGTACCTGTCCCCCTCCCCCTCCCTGATGATTCTGTTACAGTACCTGTCCCCCCCCCCCCTCCCTGATGTTTCTGTTACAGTACCTGTCCCCCCCCCCTCCCTTATGCTTCTATTGCAGTACCTGTCCCCCCTCCCCCTCCCTGATGTTTCTGTTACAGTACCTGTCCCCCTCCCCCTCCCTGATGTTTCTGTTACAGTACCTGTCCCACTCCCCCTCCCTGATGTTTCTGTTACAGTACCTGCCCCCCTCCCCCTCCCTGATGTTTCTGTTACAGTACCTGTCCCCCTCCCCCTCCCTGATGTTTCTGTTACAGTACCTGTCCCACTCCCCCTCTCTGATGTTTCTGTTACAGTACCTGTCCCCACCCCCTCCCTGATGTTTCTGTTACAGTACCTGTCCCCCTCCCCCTCCCTGATGTTTCTGTTACAGTACCTGTCCCCCCCCCCTCCCTGATGTTTCTGTTACAGTACCTGTCCCCCTCCCCCTCCCTGATGTTTCTGTTACAGTACCTGTCCCCCCCCCCCTCCCTGATGTTTCTGTTACAGTACCTGTCCCCCTCCCCCTCCCTGATGTTTCTGTTACAGTACCTGTCCCCCCCCCCTCCCTGATGTTTCTGTTACAGTACCTGTCCCCCCTCCCCCCTCCCTGATGTTTCTGTTACAGTACCTGTCCCTCCCCTCCCTGATGTTTCTGTTACAGTACCTGTCCCCCTCCCCCTCCCTGATGTTTATGTTACAGTACCTGTCCCCCTCCCCCTCCCTGATGTTTCTATTACAGTACCTGTCCCCCTCCCCCTCCCTGATGTTTCTGTTACAGTACCTGTCCCCCTCCCCCTCCCTGATGTTTCTGTTACAGTACCTGTCCCCCCTCCCTGATGTTTCTGTTACAGTACCTGTCCCCCTCCCCCTCCCTGATGTTTATGTAACAGTACCTGTTCCCTCTCCCTCCCTCCCTTATGTTTCTGTTACAGTACCTGTCCCCCTCCCCCTCCCTGATGTTTCTGTTACAGTACCTGTCCCCCTCCCTAATGTTTCTGTTACAGGGCCTAATAACTGGTGCTCCCCCTTCAAGTCTTGGCACCAAGTTTACATGAGTGATACCAGAGAGTGGATTAAAGAACAAGGAGTGGATATAACTGAGGTTAAAGCTAAGGAACTGTAAGTAAAGAATTGTTATTTCAGTGTCTGGGTTAACTGTACAGGAAACATAGCTTCGGTTCCTCAACTTTGTCCTGTCAGTCATCTCACTAATTTAGCGCTGTACAAAAAAATATGCCCATTCCAGTTTCCACCTGAACTTGAACCGACGAAAATACCCATTTTCACAATTGTTCGAAAATATATTCTCAAACTTGTTTAATGAACCTGATGTAGATAATATCTAACCAGGATCCTAGGAGGAGAGACGGCCATGTGGACAGAACAAACCTCGGACAGTGATATTCTTTACAAGGTGGTTCTTTCATTCAAATTTCTGATTGTTTTTTTAACTCAGTGAAAACAGATTCTAATGGAAATAAATAGCTGAATAACGTATCGACATTTCTACGTCATACTCATATTCTGAAATAATATTGATAATTAATAGTTTTTAACGAAGAACCTTTACAAGGTGTTCCCTAGAACCTGGGCCTATGCTGAGAGACTCTGGAGTAACCCTGCTAAAGGTGGGACATATTGAGGAGGTCTTCTTAAATTAGAATACTGCAAACCAATACCTTGATAGTTAATCAGTCGATAAACAAATCTGATATCCCAGTATTTTCAGTGCACAAAAAATATACAAGTGTATAACGTATGCAAAAATCTCAGGTAAGGCGGGTGAGGTAGGATCCTGGGAGGAAGCGGAAGAAAGGCTGTCTCACTTTGCCTCCCTCATGAAGAGCAGGGGTGTGCCTTCTAACACCATGAAACCGGAGTACTGTCTCCAGAACGATGGTAAGTGTTGTTAGGGTGTTGTTAGGGTGTTGTTAGGGTGTTGTTAGGGTGTTGTCAGGGGTGTTGTTAGGGTGTTGTCAGGGGTGTGCCTTCTAACACCATGAAACCGGAGTACTGTTTCCAGAACGATGGTAAGTATTGTTAGGGTGTTGTTAGGGTGTTGTCAGGGTGTTGTTAGGGTGTTGTTAAGGTGTTGTTAGGTGTGTGCCTTCTAACACCATGAAACCAGAGTACTGTCTCCAGAACGATGGTAAGTGTTGTTAGGGTGTTGTTAGGGTGTTGTTAGGGTGTTGTTAGGGTGTTGTCAGGGGTGTTGTTAGGGTGTTGTCAGGGGTGTGCCTTCTAACACCATGAAACCGGAGTACTGTTTCCAGAACGATGGTAAGTATTGTTAGGGTGTTGTTAGGGTGTTGTTAGGGTGTTGTTAGGGTGTTGTTAAAGTGTTGTTAGGTGTGTGCCTTCTAACACCATGAAACCAGAGTACTGTCTCCAGAACGATGGTTACCACTCGGGAGTCTGTCTACTGATACACTGTTTATTTTACCTCGCCAATTTCAATTTACCTTCTTAGAACATTGTCATTACTGAGTCTGTTCGGAAAAAATAGGACATTTTCTTAAGAGAATGATCAAATGAGACCTAATAGCACTACTCGACTTAAACAGACTAACCATTCCTGGAGGGGGATTTGTTTTAATAACCCATTTCGTAGCAGACGGTTTTTTCAGCTGATCACATCCTGCTCTGAATTGTTATCTATTTCTATTTTCTGATTAAGTGTATAATTTCAGGGAAGTGTGTTCTACCAGAAAGTAAAAGTAGTTCCCTAAAAACGGTGATCTGTCCTGTACTCGTGATCTTCACTGCAGTCTTACTGTTGGCATTTTAGTTTCCAGAGAAGACATTTTGGAGAGGAAATTTTTTTAATAAAAGCATTAATCTTTGATGCACGATTTATGAAGAGAATCTCTTTTCGATGAGACATAAGTCCTGATATAATCTATTATCGTTGAGACATTTTACATTACCATATATACATATTGAGGACGGATTCATCCGAATATATTTGATTTTTATACGAATGATCTATCAATATTACCACGTACAGTCTATATTGCATCTTAGACCCTAGCTAGATGGTACGGATGAGATTAGTAAATATTGTTGAGGGTAGAAAGCAGTTTTTTATGTCAACAAATTTGTCAGAGATTAATTCTTCTACCTTAGAGGAATTGCATCGATCGGAAGCGAACCATTTCTGAGCTCTTGATTTACCATCTTTGAGATTTATATTTACCATTGCTCCTTTTTCCTTACCAAAACGTTTATTTTATTCGTGTAATTCCTGAAATACTTGCATGCTTATTGAACCTCGTATTTTCTGCTTTTGGGGGCAGCACATGGTGAGAAAGCATGATGTGTATAAACTTGTAACTATTTCCTTGATTCCACACCGTAACCATTGGTTACTGTAGCCATGACTACCGTAACCTAGCGCCCCGCCCTATAGTTAAACTGCTAGTAATTAGTATTACTAGGAGAAATGTCGCTGTAATTGTACAGACACGATGCGTGGCAGGGAGAATCAAACCAGAACCATGGTTAGGAAACGTAATCATCTGGAGATTCTCCAGGCAGCAGGCTGCTCTGAGTTCCGTGAGTAAATCACTGTGTTTTTAAAGTTTTAAAATTAACGAATTTTACGTCTAGATCTTTGATCGGAATTTGCCTCATTATTTCCCTGAAGATGCTGTATGTTAACTGTTGTATAAGAGGTTTTTTTTTTCTGTGCCGTCAACTGTCAACTATGATCTGTCATTAACATTATCTAGTTAATTAATAATTAATTAATTAACATTATGTAGTTTTGTGCAGTTGTATGATTACTCAATTTTACAACTTATTTATAACATGTTAAGATGAAGACTGCTCCCTTCCACGCGCTCTCACATACCTGTCTTCTTATAAGATTTCAACTTCAAGGTCTTAGTAGTTCTTGTAGTACTACTTTGTTTACTGCGTAATAATATAAGTTAATATATAACTTATATATAGCACAATAAACAATAAACACTATTTTAATATAACGGTATTTATGCTATCATGGTACCACCCGAACATACAACATCTTATGACACACAACCTTTCACAGGTTTCAACTCCCATTCCTCACATATTTCTAATAAGACACTATTAGTTACTACTTCACTACATTTCATCCCAGATCTCCTTCCACATTTCCCCTCCGTACTCAGAACTTGTAAATACAATATTATCCTTGTTAGGGGTGTTAGATATACTGTTAGGGGTGTTAGATAGGGGTGTTAGTTAGGGTGTTAGATATACAGTTAGGGGTGTTAGTTAGGGGTGTTAGATAGGGTGTTAGATATACAGTTGCCAAGTGTACTCCTCTATAAACACAGACTGGGAGGCCTCGGTAGCGCGGTTTATTCCAAAGGTTTGTATAAATTACGCTCATTAAATATTATATATAATATAAATTAAATAGTTGTACTGGTCAGTCTGCTGTGATACCCACTTTTATACAATCTCTCTCTGGAATATACCCGGAATATTCCTCATAATTATCATACCCCTGTATACCCCGGCTAGTTACCTGAATACCCGCACATTGTGTCTACAGCAGCTATAGTACTAGGAAACACTGCCATATTGACACCTGTGTCATGTGTTGCCCGGGCTCTATCGTGCGACAGTGTACCGTGTCCCGTGTCTCGTGCCTGTCTTCACAAGTATGCATTTCTACGTAAAAAGGGCGGCAAAAGTGTTAATCGCATTTTAATCTAATATCCCCCGTAATCTCCGGTTGTATTTAAGGTTTTTGTTGAAATATTAGAAGAGTGGTGTGTGTTGTGTGCAGTTGGTAATACATGTGCTGCTGTTCTAATCTATTGTAGACCAGAACTTAATACCCACTGCTCCATTGGTCTGCGTATATATAATATAATAATCAGAATTATATTTATAATACTTTATTAGATTAGGATTAAAGTATTTTAAAGCACATGTTTTGCTGCTGGCAAACTGCCAACCCCGCATTCTGTAATTTTCACCGCAACTTGCTGTCTGCTAGAATAAGTTTTATTGATTTGCACTTGTTGCTGAGAGGAATTCAAACTAGATTTTATTTGTTCTTATTACCGCTGCTCTAATTAGTTAAGTTTTCGACTAACGAAAAATTGCACCCCTTGCATTAAACAATTTGGACGAAGAGCCATCCTGTCACACATACTCACATACTTGCATACTTCGTCTAAAACAATGCCCATATAAGGTCAATCTAAGTTCATCAATGCCCATATAAGGTAGTCACTGATGCCCTTATATAGGCATTATGCCCTTATATGGGTATCAAGTGACAATTCCCGTGAACTTGCGAGCTGATGGTCTCTGCCTGTATTCTGCACGGAAGCGGAGACTTGCCAACTATTGTTGTGGAGTATAAACCTACTGCACCCCTGCTAGGTTAATGCGGTCTACTGCATGCTCTGTCGTGTGGTAACGTTGTCGTGGTAACTGTACGTTGATCTTGAGTAGCACTTTCCTCCTTGTATATAGTGCTGACTTGGCAACTATTGCCATGGTAACTGTAGGGTATTTTGTGTTTAACTCTGCTGTAGTCTGCTTCGTACTGAGAGATATTATCAAGTTTTTTGTGGTTTCTGCAGTTTTTCTTATGCAGTTTTTCTTCTGCAGTTTTTCTTCTTCAGTTCATGTAGATTTCAATAATTTGCCGCGCATGGTTGTCGGGGAACGTTCGCGGCCCTTTCTCGACAGACCCCTATTATATTTATAGCTAGTCAATCCAAATAATAAACACTTAGTTCAAATTTGTCAGATCCTAATCGGGGCATAATTCAGTTTTCTCTCCTAATTCTAATGTCCTTTATAATAACTAGAGTCTAGACGGCCCTAATTCAGCGTTGATTCAGTCGGCACTAATCCATTCCACGTACGCTATAAATCATGCACTCTATATTATCCAACCCTTTACCTCAGCTCTATTTGGCCTTCATAAATCAACCGGCCCTTACATTTCTGTTACATAATGGTCGGTACGCAATCCTTTACAACCCATCTACACGTTACATGTTACATGTTAATTTATTACCTTATCGGTGCATTACCCACTTTAATCCGGTTAAATTATTATATTTGATCTTGTTTCCTTTTCGTACAGATTGTAGTGAAGTTAATTTTTTTTACGTGTTTTGGGTCTTATTTATGATTTTTTTATAATTATGTTATTTATTTCATTGATGTATTGTCACGACGGGTTCGTTAGTGTTCCCTCTGACTATTTAAGTTTAATTCCAGTTTAATTCCAGTTTAATTCCAGTTTAATTCCATGGCGAGATCTCCATCCAAAAGGATTAGTCTGCGTCATCTGCGTCATTACTTTGTATTATACAACTTCGGCGGGTAATATTTCTCCATCCTTTTCGATCTGCAGCCAATCTTCTCATACAATCAATCGTGAGTCCATTACGATCCAATCTCTGCTCAGCATCTTCAATAAATACATCATTTAAGCTCTTCCTAGGCCTGCCTCTTGATCGTTTCCCATGCTTGGGTTTCCATTCAAGTAGATAGTTAGGTAACCGATCTTCAGGCATTCTACTGACATGTCCAAACCAACGTAGCCGTTTTGTTGCTATTATGTCAGTAAGAGCAGTTATTGAAGCCCTTCTTAAAACATCTTCATTTCTTACTCGATGGAACCACCTCACTCTCAGGATTCTGCGTAAGCAGTACTGATGGAAAGACTCTAATCTTCTTGTCTGCACTTGAGTCGTGTTCCATATCTCACTTCCATAGGTCAGAATGGTAAGAACAGCTGCGATGTAGATTCGCACTTTGTTGTTAATGCTTATGTTCTTATTCTTCCAAATGTTATTGAGTTGGTTAAAAGCTCCGGTTGCTTTTCCAATCCTGACACTTATTTCTTTATCGATCTTGCCATCCGATGTAATTTTGGCACCCAAATAAGTGAATTGAGTGACCATCTACACGTGGTGAACCTTAAATAACCTTAAATAACCTTAAATAACCATAAATAACCTTAAATAACCTTAAATAACCTTCAATAACCTTAAATAACCATAAATAACATTAAATAACCTTAAACAACCTTAAATAACCTTCAATAACCGACCTTTATCATCCGAACCGTGTTTCGCTATCTCAATAATTCTGCTTATCTGTATAAATGTATACATTCAGTTTACACAACTGGGCTATTTCTTTCATCATTAATCGTAGCTGAAATAGGATAGCTGTTTCTTTTTCTGTTGTTGCACTGACATGACAGTGTTCCGTTTTCTCATTTCCTTATGACGTCAGCATTTGCTAATGACGTCAGCATTTGCTAATGACGTCAGCATGTATTTTTGGACTACGGTAGTTTTTAATATTCTCTTCCATCTCGTTCTATGCTATTATTTTCAGTTTATTTTCAGTTTATTTTCAGTTTATTTTCAGTTTATTTTCGATTAAGTTAATAAAATGGGAGCTATCGGGACCAAACTCTGATGTTTATTTATACTGCATGAAGCCAGTAAATTGTTAATATCGTTAGTAACTATGCGATGTATTCCTGTCCCCATTCCTTAGTAATATCTGTTGTTTGTTTGTTGTTTGTTTGTTTGTTTGTAGTACTACGGCTTTACAAATTTTGGAAGCATGTAGGGATATAGATCTGATACCAATCGTATATACTAAAAATACTCTAGCACAATTGTAACTGCAGTTTTACAGAACTCCAAATGCTTAATGAACACTCTTGCAGGTGCCACCCGTATTCACACTCAGACCTGAGTTTAGTAATTTTGCGATGTTAAGCATTCCTGTCCTCATTCCTTTGTAATATCTAGTGACCAGCCTAATACTGCTATCCGCAGCAGCAAATCTTCTAATCTTAATCACGCTCACAGATTTCATTTAAAGAACCAGATACATGGTAGCAAACATATAATTCTCGTGCAAATTTAACTGTCAAAACTCAACGGAGGTATTTGTCTCGGAGACTTACAAGCTCAATCTCATTTAACTATTTAATATCCCTCAAACACGTGCCTTATTGACGTGCACATGTGCACAATGTGCACGTCACTGCGCATGTGCTTGTTACCTAACAACTAACCGTTACCTAGCAACATGTGCTTGATTCTCCTTTTATGGCAGCGTAAAACATGAAACACAGTGTTGAAATTAGACTGGTAAGTACCAAACCGCGTACACGTGCACTTCTCAT